TGCACTGTTCGGTCTGTGTATACAGCTAGGAGATGAAACACAGACTGCGTCATAAAATGTCTTCAAGCACATGACATTCAAGTGAAATTCTTCTACTCTTCTATTTTATGCTTTTTGTGCTGCGTAACAGCTGCACGAAAAGCATATTGTCACGACGTTGTCTGTGTGTGTGTTTGTACATGTGTGTGTCTGCAACAACTTGTCCGCAACTTTCAACTCGAGAACCGCAAAAGCTAGGAAACTGAAAATGTAAGAGAATGTTTCCCCCACATGTGACCCCGCAAATTTAAATCCAGCCTTACCTTGCTCGCGGGTAACACGTGCGGCCCCATAAACTTTTTGAACCGCTAAACCTGCGAAGTTGATATTTTAAAATAACGACCCCTGCCCATGCACGACCTTGCAAATTCAAATTCAGCGTTCTAGCGCTCTCGGGTATCAGCTATGGCTGCGTTAAAATTTTGGCGGGTAAATTACTGTCCCGGGAACCATGGAATTTAGGAAGCTAAAATTTTAGGGTAGTAACCCCATGCTAATGTACGACCTTGCAAATTCAAATTCAGCCTTCCCGTGCGCCCAAATACCACTTACAGCCCTTTGAAAATTTCGGCGGGAAAAATTATTTTCCCGAGAACCACCAAAGTTGGGAGTCTGAAATTTTAGGGCGATGTCCCCTGTCATCGTACGACCCCGCAGATTTGGATTCAGCTGTCATACAGCCCACGGTACCACGTACGGCCCAATGAAAGTTTTAGCAGGGAAATTATTATCCAGTGAACTGCAGAAGCTATGAAACTGAAATTTTAGCGTGACATCCTCTGCCTGCGTACAACTCCGCAAACTTTCAACGTTCTCGTGGCAGTTTTGGAGAGAAAAACCGTTATCTCGGGAGCCAAAAGAGTTAGGGGGCTGAAAATTTCAGGGCAATGTTTCCTGCCTAAGCAGGGGCTGAGTTCGGTTCCTAATTATGCTGAGGTCTCACGTCCAAGCACGTGAAAGTTTTGTCTCGAAGACAATTCGAAAGCCAGAAAATTAGGAGATTGAAATTTTCAAGGGTTATTCGCCCTTCGACTTTTCAAATTCAGCTTTCAGGTATCGGTGCGTGAAATTTTTAACTTTTTTTAACATTTCAGCTATTTTTGTACAGATCAAAGTGCAAAGAAGTGAAAATCACTAACAGGCAATCGTTCGGTGGGCGAAATTGCACTAAACGTGCAATCGCACCAGCTATTCTGATGCTCACTGCTATTTATTGCATTATGCCTTTTTCCACTATCAAATAGATAGTTCCATGTGACTGGCCTAGGGTACTTACTGCAGTATGAAAGGCTTGAAAGTCCTGTCATAGAAGAGTTGTTTGTTCCACTGATGATATCGGATTCTGACTCAGACGCAGAGTCAGCGCTTTTTTCCGATATAAAACTTGATAAAGTCAAGTGATAGACATGGCATGGGGTAAAAGAATTAATTTTTAGCATATTCCGACAGGGATCTCTGTTCTTGCCACTGAGTATATTAAACGAGAAAGTTGTTTATCCGTGGGGACCTCGGCCACTTTTTGAAGCTGAGGACGATGTTATTGTCGTGGTCAGTATGCAGCAGCTGGCTTATGATGTCGTTTTTCCGCCTGTTAGCTTCGATGAGAACAGGTACATTTTCATATTTCAGCGTTTTGAATTAAAGCTCTTATTTAATTTTTTTTATTTGCTTTGGCCAGAAAATAGTAAATGCCCGAAATTTACCGTAGTGCAGTTGCAGGTTCACTTTTATTTTGTACGCTCAGTTTTCTTTACAGTGCCAAAGTAATATAATTGATGTTTTCACACAGTTCTTCTCTGAAGCTGTTGGTCTGAATCCCTGTACAGTTTTTTCTGGTGACAAATTGATGCTACTCTACTGGGCATTACGGGGATTCATTTCGCTGCCTCTGGCACTTCCCTCTCATCTAATTCTGCAGTTAGAAATGCAGTCACAGTCTTAAGTAATGTGCGAAATTGGCGGTGGTGATGCCAGTCCAGGGACTTTATTTTCTGACGATTCAGACATGATCAATTTTCCCTTGAGTATTAGAAGCAATTCGTTGTGCGCAAATTGGCGTTGTTTTGGTATGGAAAATGAAAAGGCATAAGCGTTCGTGCACCAGTACCTCGGAGGACCGGGAAGTTGATTTTACTTGCCAGGCCCTTTACATGTACTCCGAAAACTTCTAATTCTCATTTTTCATAGTTTTAGAGTTAAATTGCCCAAACAGACATCTGTACTTAACCTCATCATGTCTCATCCTTTCTGATGAATAAAACGCCTAATTACTTGTACATATCGTGTTCCCGACAACGTATGACTGGAAAAACCTGATGCATCTATAATTTTGGGGAAAACTAAATAATCTCTTTATTTTACTTTCTAAGAAAAGCCTAAGTGCTCTGGAGGAACAGGCACATGTGCTTCCATATTTTTACTCTAGCATCTTCTGCGCTTCACCAAGTTTCTCGATCATTTTCTCTTTAGAGTGCTGCTTAAGTAGAAACAGAATTGAAATTGGGCTTCTTGACATTCCACGCATTTCATTAGCCATCATCATCGAAAAGACTAGATGATTCGTGAAGCGAATGGTTTTTCACTAGCAAGTTTGTGCTGACAACATGATTCCGAAAACAGATCCTACCGTCTGCATTTGTAAATTTTTAATCCATTGTTATTTACAGCTTAAAGCGCAATTTCAATACTCTTGATGCCGACACTCGTCAGTACATGCTGGACATTGTGGAATGTGGAGTCACACACAAGTTAGGAGAATTTCTGATTTTCTAAACTTAGCAGTCGACTGGGCTTCTGCGTCTTTATTGAGCTACCATCTCTTCGTCGGCTGCAAAAAAACCGTTGAACAGAATGCTGTGTTGTAAGCTGTCACAGAGA